CTCCAAAATCACTGCAGATGGTGACTGCACCCATGAAATTAAAAGATGCTTACTCCTTGGAAGGAAAGTTATGACCAACCTAGACAGCATGTTAAAAAGCAGACATCACTTTGTTAACAAAGGTCTGTTTATTCAAGGCTATGGTTTTTCCAGTGGTCATGTATGGATGTGAGAGTTGAACTATAAAGAAAGCTGAGTGCCGAAGAACTGATGCTTTTGAACTGTGGTGTTGGTGAAGACTCTTAAGATTCCCTTGGACTGCAAGGAGATCCAACCAGTCCATGCTAAAGGAGATCAGTCCTGGGTGTTTACTGGAAGAACTGATGTTGAAGCTGAAACTCCAATACTTTGGCCACCTGATATGAATAGCTGACTCATCTGAAAAGACCCTGATGCTGGGAAAGATTGAGGGCAGGAGGAGAAGGGGACAACAGAGGATGAGATGGTTGGATGGCATCAGCGACTCAATGGACATAGGTCTGAGTGGACTCCAGGAGTTGATGATGGACAGGGAGGCCTGGCATGCTGTGGTTCATGGGGTCTCAAAGAGTCGGACACGACTGAGCAACTCAAGTGAACTGAGTTCACTGAACCAGTTCCTGCTGGAATGCTTGAGAAAGAAGAAGAAATTAAGAATAAAGAAAATGGTAACTATATGGGCTAATATAAATGAACTGTAATTACACAAAACAGTAAGGTGAAAGGAAAACATTACAAAGCAGACTTTAAAATCTGGCAACAATATAATTTCCAAATCTTAGGGGGAGAAGTGGAATGATGGAAAAAAAAAAAAAACCACTAAGTCAATAAAGAGGACAAGAAAGGAAACACAAAGAAAGCAATGACAGAAATATGGAGGTGGAAGTGTTAGCCACTCAGTCGTGTCTGACTCTTTGTGACCCAGGGACTGTAGCCCAGCAGGCTCCTCTGTCCATGGAATTTTCCAGGCAAGAATACTGGAGTGGGTTGCCAGAAGATTCCCTTCTCCAGGGGATCTTTCTGATCCTGGGATGGAACCCAGGTCTCCTGCTTTTCAGGCAGATTTTTAACCATCTGAGCAACTAAAACAAGGAAAACAAATCCCAATATACTTTAGATTACACTGGATATAAATGAACTAAATGATCTAAAGCAGAACAACATATTGTTTCTAAGAGACATATTTGTGGAAAACAAGTAATTAACAATAAAATAACTAAAATATCCCCATTCATTCAGGAATTTTAAAATGTACTTATAAATAACATGGATTGAAAGAAGAAAAGATTGATAGTGGTGAAAATACTACATACATCAAAACATATGCTAAAGCTATGTCAGTATCTAGTGGAAATTTTATAACATTTAAGAATACAGGCATTAGGAAAAAATGAAAACCGGTGAGACATGCTTCTAATTCAAGAAGTTAGAAAAGGGACTGCAACGTGAAAGTCTTATTTTGTCTGATTTACGTACAGCTACCACTGCTGTCTTTCACTTTCCACTTTGAGCCTGTGTCCTTAAAGTTGTAGTGAATCTCTTATAGGCAGTATATAAATGGGTCTTGTTTTTAATTCACTCAGCCACTCTGTATTTTTGAATGAAGACCTCAATCCATTTACATTTGGAGTAACTACTGATATGTAAAAATCTACTGATGCCTTCTCACTGACTGTTTTCTGGCTGTTCTGCATTTTTCGTGCTCCTTTTATCCTCTCTTGCTGCCTTCCTTTGTGAATTGGCGATTTTTCGTGAGGATTCCCCTCTTTGTCTTTTGCAAATCTGGTACAGATTTTTGCTTTGTGGTTACCACAAGGCTTACTCAAAACATCTTACAGATAGAAAAGTCTATTTTATGCTGAATACAAAAACTTGGCTTGAATACAGAAACTCTACCTTTTTACTCCCCTGCTTCTTAAGTTTTTTAATGTCACAATCTACCTCTTTTTACATTGTGTATTCATTAACAATTGTATTCATTATGGTAGTTATAGTTATTTCTAATACTCTGGTCCTTAACCTTTATACTATAATTATCAACACACCATTTTACAGTATTAAGAGTTGCCTGAACTTGATTATTTACCTTTATCACTGTGTTGTAAATTTTCATATTACATTTTTTTAAAATTTCAGCTTGATGAACTCCTTTCAGCATGTCTTGTAAGACATGTCCAGTGATCATGAATTTCCTCAGCTTTTATCAGCTTTATCTGGGAAAATTTTTATTTCCCCTTCATTTCTGAGGGTTAAGTGCTAGACAGAGTGTTCCTGGTTGGCATTTTTTCCCCCTCCTCTCTCAGCACTTTGAATACATCATCCTATTCTCTCCTGGTCTGTAAAGATCCTACTAATACCCTAGTATAGGTTTCCCTATATAGGTTACAAACTTTTTTTCTCTTGCTGATTTTAGGAGTCTCTCTTTCTCTTTGCTTTCAGCTTCACGACCTTGAACAGCTAAATCTCTCAGGTTTGGCAAGTTTTCAGTCATTATTTCTTAAATAATCTTTCTGAACTTTCCTTCTGAAACTCTACTGATTTGGATATTGTTTCTTTTGATTGTGTTCTATAAATCACAATGGATTTTTTTTTTTTACTCCAATATTCTTTTTCTTTGTTCTTTTTTAACTGGATTATCTGTCTTAATACTTGTATGTTTCCTCCAAGTTCCCATCCTCTAATTCACTGACTGTCTCTTCTGTTTGATCTACTCTTCTATTAATGTTCTCCACCGAATGTTACATTTTGTTCATTGAATTCTTTCATGCCAGAATTTCTGCTTGGTTCTTTTTTAGGATTTGTATCTCCTTAAATTTCTCATTCTGTCCCTGTATTGTTTTCCTGATTTCACAGAATTATCTTTCTGTGTTTTCTTATAGTTCACTGAATTTCCTTAAAACATTTTTTTTGAATTTTTTTATTGGGTAAATTGCAGAGCCCGATGTTTCAGTGTCTGGTTACTGGAGGACAATTGTGATTTTTTTCCTGATGTCATGTTTCTTTGACTTTTCATGTTCACTGTAGTTTTGTGTTACTAGTTTTGTATTTGAGGTAGCAGTCATCTCTTCCAATCCAGAATGTCTTCAGATGAGAGATACTTTTTGTTAGTTTTGCTTGAGGTTCTGGGGCTTTCTCTGACTTTGCATGGATACACCTACTTTATGCTCCTTGAGGCAGAATTCATAAACTTCCACTCCAGTGTGTCTAAATTCACACACACACACATCCCCCTATATATATGTACTTTTTTTTTTTCTCTAACAGAATGCTGTAATTTCTTCTCTGAATACTTGGACTTCTACAAAGGTTCTCTATCCATGGGTGACTGCCCAAATCAGTTACCTCCAGGTGCTCCCAGATTGTGGCTGAAAGGCGATAGAGCCAGTTGACAGGCTTTGGGCAGTTCCACAGCCCATAGAGAGGTCTGCATGCCTGATAACCAATGTGTGGCTGGGCAGGACTCCTCCTGTGTCTCTTCACGTACGAATAGTGCTAGGTCCCACAAACCCCATAGAGGCACTTTTGTCTGTGGATGGATGACAGTTTTGTTATTTAAGGGAGAGAAACAAAAAATGAGGGATATCTTAAGTACCATAATGTTAACTTCATTCTTCCAAGAGGATTCTAACTGGGAAATATGTGCATTTCTTGACTTGAGAGGTAGTTACATTGGTGTTTGACCCTAATCTAAAAGAGGTAAGAAAATTAAAAATAATAATAATAAAAAATAGTTTCAGACTCTAAGAACTTCAATGCTTCTAAAACAGGAAAATATTAGTATGAACTAGAGAAATACAAGAAAATTGAGGAAATAATGGTGCTTGAGCTGGAATGCAATGTGGGCAAATATTTATAGAAGAGTATAACTATGCACACTTGCTTTCATGATGGTTATAAAATATGCCCCCAAATTCTCTGAGATTCTTCTCAAAACACAGGGCCTAATTCTCACCTTGAATATGGGCTGGACATAGATTTGCTTCTAAAAATATGGTATCAAAACCAACGAGTGTGATAAGACAAGACTACAAATGCAGGAAGTGAAAACTGCATCTAAAATTAAGTGACCAGAAACTTAAAACAAACTTGTGTGTGTATATATGTGTGCATATATATGTATATACAAATATATAGATATATATGTATATATACACACACACACATATATATCTATAAACACACACATATACACACACATACATATAAACTGCTAAATCATGACCATGGGAAATGCAAACCAAAAAACTACAACAGATACACACAAAAAAGAAAAAGCAACTCAAACACAACACTAAAAATGGTCATCAAACCCAAGAGAACAAAAGAGGAAGGGAAGAAAAAAACACCTACAAAACCCAACCCAAAACAATTAAGAAAATGGCATTAGGAATATACATATCAATGATTACCTTAAATGGAACTGAATTAAATGCTCCAACCAAAAGACATAGACTGGCTGACTGGATACAAAAACAAAACCCATATATATGCTGTCTACAAGAGACCCACTTCAGACTTAGGGACACATACAGACTGAAAGTGAGGGATGAGAAAAAGATATTCCACACAAATGGAAATCAAAAGAAAGCTGGAGTTGCAATATTCATAACAGACACAATAGACTTTAAAATAAAGACTGTTACATGGGACAAGGAAAGACACTACATAATTAATCCTTATTCAATCAATCCTAGAAAAAGCTATAATAACTGTAACTACATATATATAATCAACATAGGAGCACCTCCTATAAGGCAAATGCTAACAGCCATAAAAGGGGAAATTGATAGTAACACAATAGTAATGGTGGACTTTAATGCATCATTTACAACCAACAGACAGATTCTGAAAGAAAATAAGGAATACAAGTCTTAAATGACATTTTATACTAGATAGAATTAACTGATATTTACAGAACATTCCAACCAAAGCAACTGAATACACTTTCCTCTCAAGGGCACATGGAACTTTCTCAAGGATAAATCACATCTTAGGCTACAAATCAAGCCTTGCTTGGTAAGTTTAAGAATATAGAAATTGTATCAAGCATCTTTTCTGACCACAATGTTATGATATTAGAAACCAATTATAGGAAAAATTTGTAAAAAACAGAAACACACAGAGGCTAAATAATATGTTACTAAACCTCCAATGGATCATTGAAGAAATCAGAGAGAAAATTAAAACAGTACCTAGAGTCAAGTGAGAATGAAATACAATGATCCAAAACTTACGGGATGCAGCAAAAGCAGTCTTAAGAGGGAAGTTTTTAGCAATATAACTTTACCTCAGGAAACAAGAAAAATCTCTAATAAACAACCTAATATTACACCTAAAGCAAGCAGAGAAAGAAGAATAAACAAAATCCAAAGTTGGTAGGAGGAAAGAAATCACAAAGATCAGAGCAGAAATATATGAAATAGAGATGAAGAAAACAATAGAAAAGATCAATGAAACTAAAAGCTGGTTCTTTGAGAAGATAAAATTGATAAACCTTTAGCCACAATCACTGAGGAAAAAAAGGGAGGGGCCTCAAATCAATAAAATTAGAAAAGAAAAAGAAGTTACAATGGATACCACAGAAATACAAAGGATCATAAAAGAGTACTTCAAGCAATTATGTGCCAATAAAATGGACAATCTGGAAGAAATGGATCAGCTCTTACGAAGGTATAGCCTTCTAAGACTGAACCAAGAAGAAATAGAAAATATGAACAGACCACTCACAAGAACTGAAATTGAAACTGTGATTTAAAAAGTTCTAAGAAATAAAAGCTCAGAAACAGATGGCTACACAGGTGAATTCTATCAAATATTTAGAGAAGAGTTAACAGTTATCCTTTTGAAATTCTTCCAAAAAGTCGCAGAGGAAGGAATACTCCCAAGTTCACTCTATGAGGTCACCATCACTCTGATACCAAAACTAGAGAAATAAAATTACAGGCCAATATCACTGATGAACATAGTTGCAAAAATCCTCAACAAAATACCAGCAAACTGAATCCAACAACACATTAAGAGAATCATACATCATGAGTGAGATTTATCCCAGGTACACAAGGATTCTTCAATATATGCAAATCAATGAATGTGATACACCACATTAACAAACTGAATAATAAAGATCATATGATCATGAAAATAAAATAACCCCATATAAAATAAAATAACCCCATATAATCCCCCCAAACCCCATATGATCATTCAATAGAAGCAGAAAAATCTTTTGACAAAATTCAACATTGATTTATGATGAAAACTCTTCAGAAAGTGGGTATAGAGGAAGTCCATCTCATCATAATAAAGGCCATGTAAAACAAACCCATAGCAACGTTCTCATTGGTGATACACTGGAAGCACTTCCACTAAGATCAGGAACAAGACAAAGATACACACTCTTGCCACTTTTACTCAGCATAGTTTTGGAAGTCCTAGCTATGGCAATCAGAGAAGAAAGTGAAATAAAAGAAACCCAAATTAGAAAAGAAGAAAAGCTGTCACTGTGTGCAGATGATAAGATACCATAGATAGAAAATCCTAAAGATGCTACTAAAAAAACTACTAAAACTCATCAATAAATTAGGTAAAGTTGAAGGACACAAAATTAATACACAGAAATCACTTAAATTACTATACACTAAAAACAAAAGATAAGAAAGAGAAATTAAGGAAACAATCCCATTTACCATTATGTCAAAAAGAATAAAATACCTAGGAATAAACCTATCTATGGAGATAAAAGACGTATCCTCAGAAAACTATAAGATACTGATGAAAGAAATCAAAGATGACACTAACAGATGGATATACCATGCTTGTGGATTAGAAGAATCAATATTGTCAGAATAACTATATTACCGAAGGTAATCTACAGATTCAATGCAATCCCTGTCCAATTATCAATGGCATTTTCACAGACAGAACAAAAAATTTTACAATTTGTATGGAAACACAAAAGACCCTGAAAAGCCAAAGCAATAGTGAGAAAGAATAATGGAGCGAGAGGAATCAGGTCTCCCAGATTCAGACTATACTACGAGGCTATAGTAATCAAAACAGTATGGTACTGGAACAAAAACAGAAATATAGATCAATGGAATAAGATAGAAAGCCAAGAAATAAACCTAGGCATCTACAGTCAGTTAATCTATGACAAAGGAGACAAGACTATACAACGGAGAAAAGACAGTCTCTCCAATAGTGGTGCTGGGAAAACTGAACAGCTACATGCAGAAGAATGAAATTTCAACATTCTCTAACATCATACACAAAAACAAACTCAAAATGGATCAAGAAGTAAGTAAGGCCAGATACTATAAAACTCTTAGAGGAAAACATAAGCAGAGCACTCTATGATATAAATTGAAGCAAGATCTTTTTGGATTCACCTCCGAGAGTAATGAAAATACAAACAAAAATAAGCAAAGTGGACCTAATTAAACTCAAAAGCTTCTTCACAGCAAAGGAAACCATAAACACAAAGGAAAAGACAACATACAGAATGGAAGAAAATATTTGCAGATGAAGCAACAAGGGATTAATCTCCAAAATGTACAAAACAGCTTATGAAGCACACACACACAAAAACCCCAAACCAAAACAAAGATAGAAGACCTAAACAGACATTTCTCCAAAGAAGACATACAGATGGCCAAGAGACACATGAAAAGATGCTCAACACTGCTAATTACTAGAGAAATGCAAATCACAATTACAATGAGATACCACCTTCTACCAGTCAGAATGGCCATCATCAAAAAATCTACAAACAATAAATGCTGGAGAGGGTATGGAAAAAAGAGAACCCTTCTACATTGTTGCTGGGAATGTAAAGTGGGTACAGCCACTGTGAAGAACAGTTACAGAGGTTCCTTAAAAAACTAAAAATAAAGCTATCATATGATCTAGCAATCGCACTCCTAAGCATATATCTGGGGAAAACCATAATTTGAAAAGATACATGCACTCCAACATTCACTGCAGCACTATTTACAATAGCCAAGAAATGGAGGCAACCTAAATGTCCATCGACAGAGGAATAGATAAACATGTGGTACATATATATACAATGGAATATTATTTAGCCATAAAAAGAATGAAATGATGCCATCAGCAGCAATATGGATACTTCTAGAGACAGCCATGCTGAATGAACTCAGAGAAAGACAAATATTATGATATCTCTTACATGTGAAATCTCAAAAAAAGGTATAAATGAACTTATTTACAAAACAGAAATAGAGTCACAGATGTAGAAAATAAATTTATGGTTACCGAGGGGAAAAAAACAAGGAGGAGGGATAAATTGGGAGATTGGGATTAACATATATACACTACTATATATATATACATACATACATACATACATACATATATATATAAAATAGATAATTAATAAAGACCTACTGTATAGCACAAGGAACTCTATTCAATATTCTATAATGACATGGGAAAAGCATGTAAAAAAGAATAGCTATATATGTAACTGATTCAGTTTACTGTAAATCAGAAACTAATACTACACTG